ACAGAATCTCTATTTGGGGTGATAAAAAAGTTTTGGAAATAGATGTTGGTAATATACAACATTGTGAATATAAGTAATGCCACTGAATTATGCACTTAAAAGTGGTTAGAATGGCAAATTTTATGTTATATATATTTTACCACAATAAAAAAATGGAAAAAAGTTAAACATAGAATTACCACATGATCCAGCAATTCCACTCCTACGTATATACTCAAAAGACTTGAACAGAGGTATTCAAACAAAATCTTGTACATCATGAGTTTTATTCTGCTATTAAAGAGGTTTTTTTTTTAATAATGCCATTCTTTATTTTTCCTTATAAATTTTATTTATTTATTTATTTATTTATTTTTGGCTGCGTTGGGTCTTCGTTGCTCCACGCAGGCTTCCTCTAGTTGCGGTGAGTGGGGGCTGCTCTTCGTTGAGGTGTGCAGACTTCTCATTGTGGTGGCTTCTCTTGTTGCAGAGCACAGACTCTAGGCGTGTGGGCTTCAGTAGTTGTGGCTCACAGGCTGTAGAGCGCAGGCTCAGTAGTTGTGGCACACGGGCTTAGTTGCTCCACAGCATGTGGGATCTTCCCGGGCCAGGGCTTGAACCCATGTCCCCTGCATTAGCAGGCGGATTCTTAACCACTGCACCACCAGGGAAGTCCCAAAGAGTTTTTATCATGATAGTTAAATAATTATTTCTTCATCTTTGATGTTATTACCATATATTATCAACATACCGGTATATTACCATGACTTCTGCTATTTTTATATTATATAGTTTGCTTTTGCTAACTCTAAAATTAAGTTTAATTTTATTATATTTAATTTTTTTTAAAGAACATAACATGCAATTTATAAATTTATTTATTTATTTTTGGCTGCTTTGGGTCTTCGCTGCTGCACGTGGGCTTTCTCTAGTTGCGGTGAGTGGGGGTTACTCTTCGTTGTGGTGCGTGGGCTTCTCATTGCAGTGGCTTCTCTTGTTGCAGAGCACAGGTTCCAGTAGTTGCGGCATGTGGGCTCAGTAGTTGTGGCACATGGGCTTAGCTGCTTCACAGCATGTGGGATCTTCCCAGACTAGGGCTCGAACCCGTGTCCCCTGCATTGGCAGGCGGATTCTTAACCACTGCACCACCAGGTAAGTCCTTTATTTAATTTTAATTTTAACTTTAATATTTTGGCTGTGCCGCACAGCTTTCGGGATCTTAGTTCCCCAATCAGGGATTGAACCTGGGCCACAGCAGTGAAAGTGCCGAGTCCTAGCCACTGGACTGCCAGGGAATTCCAAAGTTTTATTTTAAATTAAATCATAAAATTAAAAAACAGCAAGTGGAACTACTAGGCTTACAACAAAAACAGAAATCTTCTACTCCATCCCTTCCTACCCCTGAGTTAGTTCCTCACTTTTAATATGAATAAACAACTAAAGATCACTGGACATTCCAGGAAAGACCCCAATCCCAAAAGACACATAGAAAAAAGGAGCCTAAAGGAAATAGAGACAACACAGAGACACACGAAAACAAATATATATGTAAATCTTAGAAAGGTAGAAGATACTCTATTCATAAAACAAGGACAAAATATTATGAAAAAAGGAACAGAGTAAGGAAGAGCTCTTATACGAATGGCTGTAGTAAACATCTGACGTACAGAGTTTAGAGATAAATTCAAGAAAACCTCTCAAACTCAACAGATTTCTCCAAAAAAAGATACACAAATAGCACTTGCAAAGATGCTATACTTTATTAGCCACCATGGAAACTCAAATCAAAACCACAGTGAGGGGCTTCCCTGGTGGCACAGTGGTTGACAGTCCACCTGCCGATGCAGGGGACACGGGTTCGTGCCCCGGTCCGGGAAGATCCCACATGCTGCGCAGCGGCTGGGCCCGTGAGCCATGGCCGCTGAGCCTGCGCGTCCAGAGTCTGTGCTCCGCAACGGGAGAGGCAACCACGGTGAGAGGCCCGCATACTGCAAAAAGCCCCCCAAAAAACCAAAAAACCAAAACCACAGTGAGGTACTACTATACCCACCATGATGGCTATAATCAAAAAGAGCAATAATTACAAGTGTTGGTGAGGATGTGGAGAAATTAGAACCTTCGTGTGCTGCTGGTGGGAATGTTAAATGGTGCAGCCACTGTGGAAGAGTTTAGCAGGTTCCTCAAAAAGTTAAACACAGAATTATCATATGACCCAGCAATTCCACTCCTACTTATATACCCAAAGGAAATGAACATAGATCCACACAAAAACTTGTACACAATGTGCACAGCAGCATTATTCATACTAGCCCAAAAGTGGAAACAATTCAAGTGTCCGTCAACAGATAAATGTATAAATAAAATGTAGTATTATCCATAAAATGGAATATTACTCCACAATAAGGAATGAAGAACTGATACATGCTACAACATGGATGAACCTTAAAAACATGCAGCAAAAGAAGCCAGACACAAAAGACCTGTCATACAATCATACTGTATGACTCCATTTACATAAATGTCCAGAATAGGCAAATCCACGAGACAGAATTAGTGGTTGCTAAGAGCTAGTGGGGGAGGAGGGGATGAGGAGTGACTGCTTATGGTCACAGGGTTTCTTTTTGGAGTGATGGAAATGTTCTGAATTTAGATAACAGTGATGGTTGCACAACATTATGAGTGTACTAACTACCACTGAACTGTACACTTTAAAAGGGTAAATTTTATGGCATGTGAATTATATCTCAATAAAGTTGTTATAGCGTGGAAAAAAAAAGAAAAAAAAAAGAAAGCCTTCCAGAAAGAGAGACAACAAAAAGATAAGAGAAAGAAAAGATCAGAGACAGGATCAACTCAGCAGATCCAACATGTGAGTGACAGGAATTTCAGAGAGAGAAAACAGAACAAGTGGAAGTGAGGAAGTTATTTTAAAAAATTAATGCAAGACTATTTCTGCAAGAAACAAAAGACCTGAGTCTCCACATAAAAGTGGCCTATTAACTACTGGCACAAAGACCCATTCCAGGGCACATCACTGAGAAATTTCATAAGAGAGGTAAAGTGAAGATCCTAACAGATCCTAACAGCTTCCAGAGATAAAATAATACAAAGGACCGAGACCTGGAATGGCCTCAAACTTTTCATCACAAGTAATGGAAGCTAAACATAATACGGCCTCTGTAAGATTCTGCGGGAAAGTTACTTTCAACTTTTTAAATATTTATATATAAATTATATCTATATTTATATACAAAAATAATTTGTATTTACTATTTTCAACTTTACACCCAGCCAAACTATATGAGGTCTGAATAAAGACATACAGTTTTCAAAAATTTATCTCCAACTGAAGGTGTGCTCCCGTGAAGTGAGGGGCTAAAACCAGGAAAGCAGAAGACCATGTTGTCCAAAAAAGCAGGGTGTCCATCACAGTAAAGTAGCCAAGGGCAGTCCCAGGTGACGAAAAGGGAAGTCTCTGGACAGCAGCCTGGCAGCAGGCCCAGAAAGCAAGCTGGCCAGATCAGGGCAGAGGACAGAGGGCACCAGGAAAAATAGGAGATCATGAGATTATCTGATACGTTTGCACACCTGGAAAATAATGTTGATGAGGGGCTGGCCGATCTGGTGGAGCATGTGAAAAAAATTACAAATAAGAGATTAGAAAATAAAGTGTATAAAAAAAATGAGGCAACCATTCATTCTAGGAAAAACAAAATGTATAAGAAAATGAAATCATTAATATACATACTACAAGGCTCTGCAGTGAACATCATTTACATGCTCATAGCAAACAGAAATTTTCGTTGTTTTTTAACCCCAAACTGATGTAATATACGGAGGGTGAGGCACAGGAAGTGGAGGTGACAGAGCTAAATACTGAGCTATTATAGTAGAGATCAATACATATTGATGATTAATTTGAGAGGAAATAAAAGGTAACCCCCATTTAAAAATGAAAAAGAAATATGAAGGTAAATACCAGAATACACAGTTGATGAGAGCTGAAAGTGGGGAAGGCTGAGGAAGAGCAGAGGGCTGGATGGTTTCTGTTAGAAGCCATTTAGTGCTCTCTCTGATCCTTGCCTCTGTTCTGATTTTGTAAATACTAGTATTGTAAAAGGTTGTTAGGTATATACCTCACAACAGTTCCCTGCACACCAGTGGGTGTGACATCAAGCTGGGGACTGGCCTAGAGAGAGTGAAAACAAGGCCTCTGAGTCATCAAGGGGTGGTTTCCTCAGGCCCTGCCCCACCAGGGGTCGGTGGGATGCTGGCTCCATCCCTTCTGGATACTCCAGAGACCTGTCCTTCCTGCACTGTCTGTGAAGGGGAGCCACCTAGGGGCCGGAGCTTCCCAGGGGCCTGCCTCCAAACCACACCTCCCCTGTATCAAACACCTGTGAATCTAGGCTCCCTACATATTTCTAGCTCTTTCTAGAACTATTCTCTAATTTCTCGGGGGAATTTTTGGAAACAGGCATGGTATAGACAGAAGCCTAAGTGGGAAAGTAGATGACTTCTGTCTAACCCATTCATAGTTCTTCACACCCTGCTGAGGTTCACAGTTAGATCCCTGGTGCTTGGTACACAGTAGGTGCTCAATAAGGAGCCGCCAAAGGCATAATTATGGTGCCAACTTTCTGTGTCCGGCACTTCGTCGGGCCCTGAACATGCACCACCGCATCAGAGGGTAGGATTATCTCCACGTTACAGGTAAGGAAACTGAGGCTCAAGGAACCTGCCCAAAGTCACTTCACTAGTAAGAGAAGAGTTAGGATTCAAACCCAGGGGCTGCTGACCCCACAGCCAGTGCAACTAGCAGCTGCTGCCGTAAATCCTTTCTGGAAAAAGGTTTGGTTAGGTCGGTGGATGGATGGAAGAAAGGAAAGAATGAGAGTAAGGGGTGGAATCACAACCGACCCAGAAAGAGAACCTAAGAACCCGCACCCCCACCTCGGAGGCTGGGGCCGGCACGCGCACCCCTCCCGCCCCACCCCAGGGGCCGGCCTCACAGCGCCCACCTTCTTCAGAGAGGCTGTTCTCTTTGGTCTCCTTGTCCATCTGGCAGCACCAGCCTTCCAGCCGCTCCGTTTCTGCCTGAAGCAGCTTCAAGAACCAGTAGCCATCCCGGCGGCAGGCACCTGGCTGCGCTGGTTCCGCGGGGGAGGTGGAGGACGTCTCCAGCCAGGGGTCAGGCGGGGGCAGCGAGGATGCCTCTAAGGCAGGGTCGCTGTCGTCTCCATAGGAGAGGTTGCGCTTGATCTGGGCAATCCTGGGGGTCTGCCGGGGGCCGGCATCGATGCTGATGGAGTCGGGGTGTGGGGTGCAGTCCGGGAGGCTCCTCTCAGATGACTTACAGCTCGAATCGTTGGCATCCTGGGTATCCGAGTCGGTGTCCCGTCGGGAGGACATGCTGTGAGACGGGGCGCTGCTTCTGTGGGTGCGGGGTGGAGTGAGGTGGGGACAGTAAGGGGTGAGTCACCCAGAGGGCCAGAGACCAGAGGCCACCCCGACCCGGACACACGGGAGACAGAAACGGATGCATCGTCTGCTCACCATGCGCCTGAAGCGGGTCCCACAGCCCCCGTCTCATTCTCTGCTCAGCCCCCGCCCTGCCCACACGCACACGCACACACAGACAAGGTCATAAGGTTGCCTGTTTACTGCACTGGGGCCAGGACGCCCACCAACATCGGGATGCCAGGCCATGTCTCCGCCTGGCCTCGGCCCCCGTGGCTGATTAATCTCACAGAGCAAGCGCTCCTTGAGCACGCCCGCCCGCCCGGCCTCCCACACCTGGGCCACCACCCGCACCCCAAACCCAGCTCGGTTACTAGAAATCCAGCAAGGAGAAGTGGGTTAGGGAGAGCAGGAGGAGAAGGCGCAGGAGAGGGGAGAGCAGAGGGAGGGAGAGGAGAGGGGAGAGGCAGCCAACACCGCGGTGCCACTTACCGCCAGTCGTCCTCTACCTGAACCCCGATGGACTGGAATTTGGTAGCGGGACTGGGCTCCTCTTTTGGCACTGGCTGAATGCAGTCAACCTTATTGAAGGACAACGACAGCAACGGCACGGAGACAAAGACAAAAATAAAGAACAAACACCACACTTGCTGCTGAAATTCACATTAGTGGGACGACGCAAACGGACGTGTGGACAGACAGACACGAGGCATGCGGACACTGCACGTGGGCCCGAGGCCGGACCAGGTTAAGCCGGGCACTGCTCATTCGCGCGGAGGCGGGCGGGCAGGTGGGTGGGAGGTGGGATGGGGTGGAGATGACTGGCTTT